AATCAATGACTTATATAAGTTATCTTATTGGTTAATGAAAAGGTGTAAATTACGACTCTATTTAGCATAGTTGTGTTTTTTTGTTTTTATAAATTTAGCAACTCTAAATAAAAAACTTATTTATTTTTATATATATTTACAATATATTATCATGATTATTAGAGATAAATTTAAGAATACCAATAGTTTTAATGCAATTAAATAATTTATAATTTTTATTATTAGTATTAAAATCCATCACAAACAAATTGTTAGTTTTTATCTTTAATTTTGGTTTTCAAAAAGGACAATGATACATACTCCCAAAACATCAACATCCAAGGTTTATGAACAGTAAAATTACAAATTTACCCCTTTTCATTTTAACCTTGGGTGTTGAAATGGGTGTTGATTTTTTAGATGTATGTATCATTTCCCTTTCAAAAATTGAAAAATTTATGAAATCCAAAACTAAAAGCCAAAAATCACATTGTGCAAAATAAAACTAAAAAATAAAATAAAATAACCACAACAATGCCACTCGGAGTTTTAGTTAAAGGATGAATACCTGGAACCAACGCAGTTCACTTTGCAACTGCAAAGCTGCACCAGAAATGTGGCTTAACTTAGAATGAGAAGCTACCCTTGCCGCCATATGTAACACATTGTTTCCATCTTCATCGATGAAATTAACTATATTTTCATCACTGCTTGCACCAAGTTCTCGAAGAAATTGCGCCACTTTCTCTTGACGATTTGTTACAGCACATGTAAACATGCTTGTTGATTCTTCAGGATCTGTACTGCTCCATAATATATTTTCATTGGCTTTCGTAATTTCTATTACAATATCTGGGTTGTCATTCTTGATAGCCTCAAAGGTTGCTTCCACTGCTTTACTTTGCACAAATCTGTTCTGATCTAATTTTGATAGTTGGTGACATATTAAATGTATAACCTCACGGGCATACTCGTCCGTCAACTTCTGATCATATAATAGCCATACTGGTAAAATAAAAAATACATATATTTGCTTTATTTCTAAGAAGAAGAATAAAGATATATAGCACAAAAATGAAGGGGAAAAAAAGAAGCAAAAAGGCCCGTTGGTTAGATGCTGTTGCTTACCATAGAGTAGTAAAAGCATCGAGAACAATACGCAGACCAAAACTGCAATGGATAAGATGTATATTTCAGAATTCAAAAAGAATGAGTTTCATCAATGCAATATATATATATATATATATTTGGACTTTATACGATCTTTTGCCAATTAAAAAGATTCCTTGTGAGTTTTAACTCATATATTGTACAGAAAAAAAAAAAAAAAAAAAAAAAAGACTTTGATATGAATTATAAAATGAAAGCAAGAACATATACATCCATCGACTTTGTATCATATATATTTGCTTTGCTAATATATGTATACATCTGTGTGTGTGCTTTATTTTCTAAAAAAAACAAGATATAAAACAAAAATAAAGGGAAAAAGAATTGAGTGACCGTTATTACTTAGAATCATACTATAATATCCATCATGTATAGACGCCGTGCGTGATGGACCTGGAATGAATAATTAGTTGTGACCATGATTCAGAAAGAATGAGTTTTTCTCCCATAAAAAGAGAATGAGTTTCATCTCATTCATAGAAGAGATTTTTTTTTTTTTTTGAATCTTTGATTGGCTAATTAAAATGATTGATTATGAGTTGCAATTCAACTCATATCTACTACAGAAACAAAAAATGACGTTCATCCAAATTAGAATACGAAAGCAAAAACGTCCACATCTGTCCACTTTAGATCATATATTTCCCTTCGTATTAACAAACTTATATATATATATATATATATTATATAATGCATATTTGTTCTAACTCCTATAAAAAATTAAAAATCTAGCTTCAAAAATATCATTTTTTAATGAATATTTTAAAAAACCAACTTTTGAATTTAGTATTTTATTCAGATAGATAATTTTCAGATAAACTTTTATTATTAATTATTTGATGAAGAAACTTGTATTTTTTTAATTGAATAAACACTTCTCTTCCTCTATATAGGAAGAGATATAAAAAGTGAATAATCTCATCCATTTGTTTAAGAAATTTGAATTTTTTCATTATGAATAACTAAGATTTATCATGATTTTTTAAGTAAAAAATTAATTAACTTTTAAAAATATGATAAAAAAAAATCTTTGACATTCATAATTGAGATATGAACTATTAAGATTTTATGTAAAAGTTTTGTTTAAAACCTGTTTGTTAATTGATCTAACTATATATATTATATGTATTATATACATATAGTAAGGATTCAGTTATATACAAATTTCATACATTACATTTACATAAAATTTTAATTATTTATCTCTCCATTTTTAATAATTGAGATTTATTCATTTTTTATCATATTTATAAAAATAATTATTATTTTTATCTAAAAAGTTATGATTAATCTCAATTATTAAAAATGAAGGTATGAATGATCAAGTTTTTATATAAATGTAATTAATGTGTAAAATTTATGTATAA